TTCTAATCTTCGGACATACAATAACTGTCCAGACACAACTAATTGTGAACATCTAAAACCGAAAATTGCAAAAAACAGTTTCAACACCTATTATTTTCTATGCAGTCGCATCCGCTCTCCATTACTTCCCCAGTTAGGATGAGGTTGGATCCTGAACCAACCCAGTCTTGAAGTAACACTTTACATTTTGAAGGTGCAAAACGCATACCGAACCTGGTTAGTGTTAGTCTTGGAGTTGACAAAACTCCTGGATTCAATATGGGAAAAGGAGAGAGGTTCCATATAAATGGTGTGAATCGGTCATCATAGCGATTTACAAGAAAGCTGAAAGATCCCTTGTGAAAACCACAGATGAATTAGTATAACCAACCTAGCCTCCAAACTTCTCGCTGGGATCATACTCCGTCCATTGTCTGCCGCACGTGAACGGTGCACGCGTGCGAACCAGGTTGGTTTTAGGCCTGGTCGAGGTTGTATCGACCACATCTTAGCAGCACTATGTCGTCTGCGTACTCTAGATCAGACAGTCTGCCTCCTGGGAGTAAATCGATACCGCTATCCTCGCACGAGGATAGGGCTGTTTCCATAATCAAATCTGTAACCAAGTTGAATAGAAAATGAGAGAGTGGGCAACCCTGTCGAACACCACTTTCCGTGGTAAACTCGGGCGAAAAAGTGCCGTAAGATCGGACTCGACTTCTGCTATTTGTATAAAGGGATTGCAATACTGAAATTAGCTTCGTGGTCACATCATTCAGAGAATGGCAGTGCCAGAGTTTAGAGCGGTCAACTGAGCCAAAAGCGTTTTCAGATCTAAGAAGACAGAGATGGTGAGTCTACGAAAGGAATGTCGATGCTCCAGAATTTGGCGGAGAGTGAAGATGTGGTCGATACAACCTCGACCGGGCTTAAAACCAGCCTGGTTCCCACGCGTGCACCGTTCACTTGCGGCAGACAATGGACGGAGTATGATCCCAACGATTTACTAACTAATTTATACCGATTATGACAAAGCTGAATTTAGAAATGTTTTTCCTTCCTTCTTTTGTTTATTGATTATTGAAAATATACAATGAACTTTCATCTTGTGGGCCGCGACTGTACAAATGCCGCCTTGAGCGATGGTGGTGTGATTCGAACACAGGACCTCCAAGTGATTATCTAGAAAACCATAACACTGGACCACCGTAGCCAGATACTCTCTGTTCCATAAAACACACACTCGACTTGGTGAGCTATGCTGTACACGTGTTTTGATTCTAGCTAGCCAAACAACTGTGGCAAATGAGAAAAGAAATTTTTTCTATATCTCAGGAGCATTTTTCTAACTCTATGGCTGTATGTATGGAAAGAGAGGGACAGTGAGATCAAATTTGAAATCGCTAATCTCCCGCCGCGGACTAGAGATCAGTACATACCTGTTCGACAGCTCGACCGATGAATTTTCGCGGGTCAAGCAACTCGCCCAGCATGTCATGAATCGGAGCGAAATAGGGATCACTTTTCAAGCGTTCAACTAGGTCGTTCGGTCGTCCTTTGAGTTTGACCTCGGCGGCGGCAGCTTGGCTGTGTTGTCGTATCCGCTCGTGACACTCCTGTCGGTTGGCTGCACCTTTGGAGACCATGGTGACCAGGACTTGTTCGACTGCAAGGAACGGTAATTCCGCGGCCAGATTTGCTTCCATCACCTAGGTGACCAAGCGAGAGGAGATAAAGCGTGACCAATGCTGATCAAATGCATTTCTGGAGTGATCACCAAATTTATCGCATTTATCGATTATTTGTCTTTGCATTTACATCTGAGCGTTTAGATCCATCAGTCTATAGTGTGATACGTCCAATACAAATCTAGACATTTGGAACTACGTTGTTCCTAAATGGAATTTTTCACAAAAATATACACTGATAAAGGAGTTAGTTTCAGCATTGACTTTGATCAGTGCAGCCCGCCTTCCAGGTTTGAGCCCATGGGATAAAGATTGTCGCTGGTCAGAGATGCCGCTCAGAACAGAAGTCAGCAGCGCGAGAACTGTACGGCTCACCTGATGAAATACTGCGCCCCAGAAAAATGACAATGGAACACAAAACACCTAAAGTGCACGGCGAAACAGACAAAAAACTGTTGTCCTTGTTCTTTTGATTGTTTGTTTTCTGTATTGGTCCAACCCCACACACTCCATATCTCCCGAGTAGTCCAAACGATCGGATGATCTAAATATTGTGTGATCATTGAGAATCCCACATCCGATCCAAAAACGAAAATAATCTCACATCACTTATAATGTTAATTTTCCATTTTTCGAAAATAATTGTTTGGTTTTCATAGTTGAGTACCGAGACATATATACACTATGTTCAAACATATAAATATCATGACTTTCTGGGGATGCATTCGCATGACTGAAAACGAGCTTGTTTGCAATTTCTATCTTCTAATTTTTTTAAATATTTATTGTCTTCCCTCTTTTACTTGTTTTCCGAATTTTTCTCTTTTCTATCCAAATCCCACTATTTCCTGTTATCATCAGTCTTGTTCACCAGGCGGCGATCTCCCAAATACCATCTCTAGTTGCGGTCAAACTCCCGAGGGCCTTGAATTTCTCAACTACTTCAAGCTGGTCACCACAAAGGGTGAGTGCAGGCACACGCTTCTACCAGTCTTGCACAAGTAATCTGTACTCGGGCGGTGCCAAGCACACCATATTTGGATGTCCCGATCACCAAGCGGTTTAAAATGTTGGACTGCCTGAGTCACCGAGCATGGCGAAGAAATCGACGTATGCAAAGACAAGAACTCTGTTTGCTAGGAAGAGATCAACTCCATCGTCTGTGAGACCAGATAAGGCATTCTATGAAACACCCTATACGACAAAGTTGACGATGAATGGGGATAAAATGAGGATTTGCTGTGCTCTATTGAAAACTACAAAGGATAGCAAAAATTGGCTATATGCCATAACTCCAACGAAGCTGTCACAATATATTTCTTTGAGGATCGACACATTCTTTTCCGGTACTCTATTTCTCAACAAGCAGTTCCATAATGCACCTATTGACGGAGTCAAAGACCGCGCGAATGTCTACGAAAACAATTAACGTTGGTATGTGGTAAGTACGATGATGTTTTAGCAACTGTCAGAAAGTGAACATTTGCTCGATGCATCCCTGTCCGGCGTGAAACCGGGCAAACTCCTCGTGATTCTGCACTTCAATCACACTGTGCAATCTGCAAATAACGATGGACGCTAACCAATTTGACACTGTTGGAATCAGGCTTGTATCCCGATGGGTAGCACATCTAACATGCGGGACCTTTTTAAAGATGGGGATGATAGTCGATTGCCCTCATGAGGAGCTGACCTACTCAGGGAACAGAGCCACCAATTACCTGACAAGCTTTTCCGCATCTGCTTTAAATAGAGCTGGAGAAGGTCATCAGAACCCGGTGCTTTGTGTCTTCCCAGAGCTCCGATATTCTAACATGATAAAAGTGATATTTATTTTGCAGTAGTGAAGCTGCCTACCATAAAGTTTTGGTGGAGATGGTGGTAAGCGGAATGAAATCTCGGATCCGAGAGAAGGGAGCACACTAACAACGATATTGGTTCAAACAACCTGTTAGGACGGAGCGCACAAAATCCGTCCTGCCACGCAGCGACGCATGTCACACCACAAGTGCGCCGAATGGACTCCTGATTGGATGACTAAGGCGAATCAAATAGCTGTCGTCCGGTCGATCAACCTGAGTGCCAAGATCACGATCTGATTGGCGAGTCACCACGTCTGCTCGCGTACGCCCAAATGACCACATATATTTGCTTGTTGTGTCATGATCAAATATACACTCCGACTGTCGTTTCTCAGCAGTGTTCTTTCTCCAGTTGTTGGGGCCTAGGCAAGAGGCGTACGTATCGATCAAATCGTTTTGACACAAAACATAACACAACCGCATCACTATCTACACACATGATATTCTAAAAAACTTACAGAATTGTCTCTCAATCATCCGAAGTCTTTCATTATCACACTACTTCTATCTGTAGACGGAAGTTTCCGTCTCAGACGCGACGCGCATTTGAACACGTAAATCTGTGGCTCAATTTAATATCCGCTAATTAGAAAATCTGTTCCAGTCTACCCCACGTTTGTAGCAAACGACAGCAAACGAATGACACTGGTAGATTGTTTGACTTGCTCGTTCGGGTCGAATCCAGAGCAAGGACCCAAGCAAGATGAGACAGCATCCTGCAGTAGCTATTTATCTGATCCACAATCCGAGAAACCCGGGTCACAAATTGAAGAGATAGGAGAAATGCAAACCGGGTTCACCGAGTAACTTGACAGCACGGAGACTGTTGACGAGGATGAGCACGTGTTTACATGCGGACCCCATTCGGCGTGAACACACCCGAATTCCGCGTTCTCGGGTGTGCAATCAGACAAGTCAGTCCGGCTCGGGAACGGTTCAGACAACGTCAAACAGTTGAGTTGAGCAAACTTGGATCAGCTCATTCGTTAGTTAAGCAGCATCAGGCCGTCTTGATGTGGGTTGTGAGATAGTTAATTCCCCACTATTTGAATGCATTAACATGCGATAGAAATTTTTGCGATAACCAACAAAGAGTACCGGGGCAGCTGTTTCATCCTACTTGAGGCTCATCAGCAGTACATATGTTTTTTGATTCCCTGTCATTAGCTTGTGCGAATGTATGCAGTCGGTTACAGCCAGTCCCGCGGTCCCCAAGTGTCGAGGCTATTTCTATGGGTCGTGAATAAACCATATGGCATATTGTGCAAACGGCCGGGAAACTTTTCTCTATGACCGCTTAAAACTCCGTCGAGAATGGTCGAATAAAAAATAAATCGCCTGCTTTGTGATCAATAGAAGTGAACTGAATTCTCTGCATGAACCACAACCAATGGACCTAGATACAATTCAACCATACAACCATTCACTGTACACTTTCGTGTGGTGCATTATTGCTCACAGACGTGGAACAAGAGATCGCACGAAAAAGTTCAATTTTATATATCACGATGTCACACACGGATTGACGAATACCGGGGAAAACTGAGGGATCAGATCAATGCAGGTTCCTGGGTTGGGTTTGTACGATAGTTAGAACTGTACGTTTATGCAGGCTTTGGTTTTGATTGCGAGTGTTTTGACAACTGATCTGGTATATATATATATAACACCGGCTTGAGAACAAGCATGGTGCCAACGCCACAACAATATTAACAATAATAATAACTGGACGGGGTTGGAATACAGAGTATAGGGAAAAAGACTCAACTGTTAGAATGGAAGATTACAAACAAATGAATAACAATTTTTAGTGTATTTCTCCGTACACTTTTTGATATTGTTGGTTTTTTTACTGGGCACGGGAATTCGACAGGCAGACGAAGTGACGAAACAAAAACTCAGGAAGTAACAAAGAAATCAAACATTATATTTATATATTTGTGGACCAACAAATCATAGTACAGTCACCTTTATTAAAGGAGAAAGCTTTATGTTTCACATGAGGACGGAATACCGCCCGGTTGCTCAAGCTGAGGTAGGTGAATTTGCTTGAGGACTCCACAACCGGAGCCTTCGGTTAGCCAAAGCCTGATCCGCGAGGCAGCGGGACAGTGTGTGCAAACCGCAACCCCTTGGGGGGGGGACGGTGTTTAGATCATCGGATCATACGCCCTTTTGACGGGGCCAATAAACCTCCATACCCAATGAAGCCCGATGATAACTGCTACAAGAGGGAAGGTGTGGGTGACGTTGATTCGTACACCCCTTCTTCGTTGGTTTGGAATCATTCTTTTCAGCCAACTCCCCTGAGTTAACTGCCACCGACCCGGATACTGGCTTTTCGTCTGTTCACCTTGGTGGGGCAAAATCTAGACCATTAGAAGGCGGTGAGTAGGGTTTTCTCAGCAGAGGCTATTTGAAACGCTTGATCTTATAGAAGCATTTCGTGAGATGCAAAGGAAGGTTGACCATCCACAACTAAGACACCCCGACCATTCTGAGGCTTTCAGAGGCTATCAATCAAAATCTTGCAATTTTGAACAGTTGTCCTTTATTTACCATCTCTATTAAGTAAATAAAAATACGAGATGCTGGCGGTGGACGTTAAGTAGTTTACGTCACTGTCGTCAGCATTGTCCGAACTCCAAGGGCTCAGGCTTGAATTCCGTCATTACCATTCACCTTCGGTACCGAACAACCTCCCGAAGGCGCAAAACCACGGTCTGTCATTGAGACTACTCCCAAAGGATTAGGTGACTGGTTCCCTAAGATTCCCATAATCACTCTTAGTACTGATTGTGCCAACAGATAAACATATTTTTCGGGTGGTTCCTGTCATCAACCGGGAGAAATGGCAGTACATCATGGCTTTCCATAAATTGTCCGAAACATCGGGTGGGGTGGGCTGGGCTGGGCCGAAACTCCGAGCAGTCTTACGTATCTGTGTTATGGTGGCTAGAATGAGATAGGAGGGATTGAAGGTGGTTTCTTATCCAATACGACATATTTATCCCCCCCCCCGATCCCATCCCATCGTTATCTTTCTCTCGGGATTTCGTGGAACAGCGGTTTCATGGACTAACTTCGATTACATATGCACATGAACAGAAAGTGACATGTACGATCGGCTTAACATAAACACTCACACGTCTGTAAACC